CCCGGGAGCCGGGCTCTCGGTTGCCGGGAGAGCAGAGCGGGCTCCTCCCTAGGATAGCACCGCAGGTAGCCTGTACGCTGTCTGTCAGTGTGGAGAGAGCGTTGTAATCAAAGCACGCGGCCGGACTGACTTTGGACCATCGAGAAGCGTGCAGCTTCATACAGTCTTTAAGTAACAGGGAAACCTCTCTTCAGGCATTTCCAGATTTCGGGTTTATTTGCCAAATGTTTTAACTCTTCAGTTTTATTTTTTGAAAGCTTTCCCTGCAGAAGAACCAGCAGTGAAGAGACCTCTGCTAGGTTGATAATGGGGTGTGGCTGACGTGTGCAATAAAACATGCTTCAGGATGTGATGATGAAGTTTGTATGTTGAAATTAGGAAGTAGCCTGTGTGTAAGGTGAAGAAAGTAAAAGGAGATTTAAGGGAAGGAGAAGCAAAGGGAGTGAGTACACCTGTAGATTACAGAAGAGCATCGTAGTAGAAGATAACTCAGTTTTTAAACAGTAAAGTGATGAGGTATTTAAAAGTGAAGTTAGTAATTGAACTAAGTGAACAGACTGATTTCCTTTGATCCTAACTTTTGTTCCTGTCTGGAAAAGCCTTCGTGGGTTGGAGGATGTCCTTCCTCTCTTCCTTCTCGATGTCGGATTGGCAGAGGTTGGGAACGTCCATCAGTCTGATGGTTGTGTGGCCTGGCAGGAGTGGAGTAAGTTATGTGAGCATCTTTCTGCTGGCAGCACTGACTTGAGAGGGCAGTCATCCTAGAAAAGTAATGCTGAGCAACCTTGGAGGTTGTTGGGTTTTTTTTCTGCTCTTATGTCCAAAAGCAATACTAAAGTTAATGACAGCTGAAGAGAAGCCATGCCCTGGGGAAGCTGAAGGCTTCACAACTAGGTACCAGGAGGGAAGTGTGCATATACAATTTTTGTTTAGGGGGTCTTTTAAAACCAGCACTCTTGAGCTCAAAGAGCGGCAAGAGTGTGGGTCAGCTTCGAAGTCGGACAAGAATGGAAGGGAACCAGTTTTCTGTTTTAGGAATGGACCTTCATCCCTTCTGGCACCTGAAGTCTGTTCTATAATATGTTGCTTCTAAGTGCTAGTTGTGTGTAGTCTTTTATCAATGTGGAGGTGCTGGGATAAGAAACATGCTCCGTTTATCCCGCTGAATGAATGGAGGCCAGTTACTTCATGCAGTGATTGATATTTGTTAAATAATGGTATGCAGATGCTGCTAGGTGTGGCTAGCTTCAAACTTGTGCCTCAAGGCAAAATGTTCGCTAATCCATCATCAGTGTAAGATCATCCTGTTTAATATGTGTGATGAATCTGTGTGGGACATCTGAAAGGAAAGAGAACCCACAAACCTGAGAGAGAGTTTTGTATGCAACACACATGATGTTTTCAGCAACTCGGTGGTTCTAGAACTGTGCTGACGAGGGCACTACTGGAGATAACATTGAAAAGAAAAAACAGTTGCGTTCGTTTCAGCTTGCTTTGGAGAACAGGGGAAATGTGCAGTGTTTATAATTAAAGGATGGGGTTTGGGGAGAGAGAGGAATATTACATTTTCATTGTGAAAGTGTTGTGCAAAGAGTAGTGTCTTCATGTGGCCTTAATCCATAGTTTTAGCTACTGGTTATTTATGGTTGTAAGAACTCCATCAAAACCCAAGTCTCGTCAGTATTGGAAGAATCAACACCATCTGACTGGCTGGCTTTCGAATATTTATCTAGCCTACCTGCCATAAGTGAGCTTTAGGGAAAATACTAATGACACCGAAAACTCAATTCGATATCTCGGGAACAAAAACCACATTACTGTTCAAATAAATATGATTATTCATGCAGATTATGTATTGTAGTTTGCTTTTTTTATGTTGACAGTTTCTTTTAATTGACAGCTCTTAACATTTGGAAAAGCAGAAAAATGGCATCAGAAGACATCACTAAGCTTGCGGAGTCACTTGCCAAAACCAAAGTGGGTGGTGGACAGTTGAGCTTCAAGGGCCAGAGCCTTAAACTCAACACAGCTGAAGATGGTAAGAGAAAATACCCTTGTGTTTGGGGAGTGTCTCTGTGCGATTCTGAAGTCTTGGGGTAAACCTGCTAATCCTGCATGGCCAAGTTGTCACAATATTAGCTGTGATGCAAAGAGGTCGTTCAGCTACAGCTGCATCTGATAGAGAGGATTTCTTCCCTTTTGTACCTCGCTTTGACGTGCTACACTGGCAGTGCTACAGCTGGCGGCGTTGGAGTTACTCTGGTGTTTGATTCTTGTTTTCTTGCTGTTCTCTCCAAGTGCTTTTGACAGTCACTGTGTGTTAGAAGTCAACGTTCCTTTTAAAAACAGTAGGCAAGTGCATGACAGCACTTGGATGCTTCAAAGACCTGCGCAGAGGAATGGGCTGATATGTTTGTCCACTGCAATAGTCCAGTTTCTTCCCAAATTCTGACCAATTTGTTAGACTCTTTTTTTTTTTTTTTTCCTCTGGAGAATCTCCTTGATGGTATATGTGTGTTTCCCAATTCAAAATTTCTTGCAGTGGCTGCTAATGTACGAACTATTTGAAGAATATGTATATATTCTTAGAACAACATTTCTACCACACCAAACACCATGTTCTTCAGAGAGGTTATTTGCTGTAGTGCATACCTTTTTTACTGATTTTAAAGGTTGTAGTAGGGCACAGCCACTGAACTATGGGGAAAGGCTTTGAAGCCTGGGAACGGTAATGAGTGCCTGTTGACAGGAGAGAGTCGGCAGCCTGTTCCTGTGTCTTGCATAGGATTGCTCTGGAGTTAACTTGTTCCACCCTGACATGCTTGCTAAACAGGGATCTACTTTTGCCAGTCAGTGGGAATTTCTTCCTGTTGATGTAGCGCCAATTCCCATCAACTTTTAGCTTAGTCTTTGCATCTTTGTAGGCACATGCACTCTAGCTCGTAAACCATGTGCTGGATGGTAGAGGAATCTTACCTAGGAAGTAAGGAAACTTACTTTCGCAAATAGGAGGATGGCTATCAGAGAATAGAACTAGAAATAAATTATGAAAAGGCAGGGTGAGGAATGGAGAATGTTCTTTCTAGTGACCTGACACTTTGTCTGAAAGAATCCTGAAACAGCAATGGGAACAGAGCTAATGTTCAGCTGCTTTTGCGAAGGATAGTGTTAAACAAGTGCTGCTGCATCAGAATGTTACTGTGGTACCTAAGATAATAGTTAAAAGGTCAACTAGACTATCTGCTTTTTGCAGCTGAAGAAGTAATCAAGCAAATTGAGGAATGTGATGACTTGGAAGCATTGCGCCTGGAAGGCAACACCGTGGGCGTGGAGGCAGCAAAGGTCATTGCCAAAGCCTTGGAGAAGAAATCAGAGCTCAAGGTGAGAGCCTTAAGTAGGTGGTAGCGATGGAGAAGAAGTAATGTAGAAATACTGAAGCTCTATCTATGCTCTTCCTACAGAGGCCTGCCTCGAGTTAGCCCTAAAGTTTTCTTGGTGGTTCTTCCAGTAGGAAGAACAACCGTATGAAAGTATGGTAGAACTTGGGAACTTTGGGATAATAGGAACACTTTCTGCCTTCTTAGCTATTCCTGCTCAGAAGGCTTCCAGTCTTTAAGCTGGGAAGCTGTGCAAGGAAGAGTCTCTCTGCAGTGGCTGTGAACAGAGAACTGTGGCAACAAAACTTAAGTTCTAATGGGGAAGCTGGGTCATCTCTTCTGGAGAATGATCAGATCTTCTGAAGAATGAGTCTTCAGAGAATGCCTGAATAGGGAAGAAATAATGGAGAAAATGCACCAGGAGGTTTTTCTGTTTCCCTACTACTGTTTTAGCCTAATGTTAGGAGAATGCTGTGCTGCTAGAGGCACTGTCCTTCACAGGAGAGGAGTATGAAACATTGATTCATGTTAATCACCCAAGTGTGGCTCTTCAAGCAAGTTGTAGAGCTCCATACCTTAATAAAATCTGCATTCCTAATATGTTCTTCAGTTTCCTGCTGTTTTTTTCCTGTGGTAATTTTCTCAGCAGACAAGAATTCCAGCTTGAATGCAAGCAAGAATTCCTGTATAGTGTTATTTGCAACGTGTGTTTCGGTGGCTTTACGTCCTTGCAAGTGAAGTAATTGCAACGTTAGTTCTCGTAGCTCTTTAATACAATCAAATGACAAGTCCAAGGCAAGGCAGGCAGTATTAAGCTGTCCCTAGTGATGTAATGCAGCTTGTATGTGTAAACCTCTGTACAACTGCTTTGTCCTAAATATTCTTAATGGTTTCTAGCTGTATGTTTCTTATTTTAGAGGTGTCATTGGAGTGACATGTTCACAGGGAGACTAAGGTCTGAGATCCCTCCTGCTTTGGTAAGTAAAAACTAGATCTGAGACTTCTGACTAATATAACTTCTGTTCTCACCTGTCATGCTTTTTGTGGGAGTACGTTTTTTAGCACAGAGCTGATCTTTCTCTGTGCTGTTAACACTAAGTCTCTCAAAATAGGTAAGTGATTCTTTTTTGCTCCTTCTGTATGAAGTGGAGAAGAGTTGATAAAAGGCCAAATGCAAGTCTGGGCTAGTGAAGAAGCTTGTCACTGGGGAAAACATCCTCATGATCCAATAGACAGAATGAGAACTAAGCTTTCTAAATAAAAGCGTATGACCATCTCTTCCAAGAAAGTTACAGAGCTCCTCGCCTCCTTGTGTCCTGTGAAGCAAGAAATGATAAGCTCAACAGAATGAAAACAATATTTCTTTTAGCAGTGTAAAGGGGGAAACTCACTTTGAAAAATGTGTATTTGACCTAAAGTGATGGGGTAACTTCTTGGTAACTGCCTTACGGTTATCTTTAGCTTAATTTGCACAACTACTTCTCTGGCTTTAGCTGTAAAGTTTTATTTCCCCGTGCGGCTTTGCCGAATGTCTTCAAAGTGGAAATTTTTTGCAGCATTGCTGTCATACCTAGCCACTGCAGTGATGCTGTCACTAAAAGTCAATCCACTCCCTCCCACCCACTGCCGTCTGTTTCCTTACAGATCTCTTTGGGGGATGCACTCATCACTGCTGGAGCCCAGCTGGTGGAGCTGGACCTGAGTGACAATGCGTTTGGGCCAGACGGTGTGCGTGGCTTTGAGGCACTGCTGAAGAGCCCTGCATGCTACACCCTACAGGAACTCAAGCTCAATAACTGTGGCATGGGCATTGGTGGTGGCAAGGTAAGGATTGTCTCCTTTTTGGTAATGAGGTCAGAACCAAGACTGGACTTCAAACTGCCCTACGCAGAATCACAGAATGGTTGAGGTTGGAAAGAAGGGATCTTTGGTGATCATCTAGTTCAGCTGCCCTGCTCAAGGCAACTAGACCAGTTTGCTTATGGCTATGTCTAGTCAGGTTTTGAATATTTCAAAGGATGGAGACTTCACAGCCTCTCTGGATAGTCTGTCCCAGTGTTTAATAACCCTTACAGTAAAAGAAGAGTTTTTGTGTTCAAATGGGATTTTCTCTGCATTGATTTGTGTATATTTGTGTCTGGCGCTCCCTTCTTTACACAACCTTCTCTCCTCATCCTGTTATTTTGGCCATTCTTACACATAGATAAGATCTCCACTAGAGCCTTTTCTTTGCCAGGCTTAATAATCCCAGCTCTCAGCACTCTCCCAGTATGTGAAATTCTCTAACTCCTTAATCATCCTTGAGACCCTTTGCAGGACCCACATGAGTTTATCCATGTAGGGGCCTGGAACTGGACACAGTATTCGGATGCAATTCACAGGGCTGAGTAGAGGAGAAGGATCACTTCCTTTGACCTGCTGACAGTGCTTTTCCCAAGGCAGTCCCGTAGACTTTCTCTGCTGCAAGTGCATATTGCTAGCTCGTGGTCAACTTCTCACCCACTAGGATCCCCAGGTTCTTCTCTGCCAAGCTATTTTGCCCCCAGTTGACCCCCAGCTTATACTGGTACATAGGATCGTTCCTCCCCATTTACAGAACTTTGCGTTTCCCTTTAAACTTAGTGAGATTCTTGTTGATCCATTTCTCCAGTCTCAAGATCCCTTCCTTCTACATGTTTTCAGGGATAAATTTCTGAAGTAGGAAAAGCTCATCTGTTTCTCCAGGATATGAAAACAGTTCTATCCTAAACATGAGATTCCATGTCAGGAGAGCTAGTAGCCTTGGATTTGAGAGAACAGTGTTACCAAGCCTGGAACTCAAGGAACACCTGTTGGCTGAAGCAGAAAACCGGGACTAAGTGTTATTATCACGAAGACTCTGTGTTTGCCTGTTTAAGAATCAAATATTCTTAATAGGATCAACATGTCCTAGCATTGCAAAATTATCACTTCTTGCCTAAGCTTGTAGTGTGCAAATGTTGTAGTTACAGACAGTTTTATTGTAGACCTTACTGTAGAAGCAAGTACATTTCAGTGGTGACTGAAGTTTTTCTTGAGAGCTGGATATGCAAAACACATTTGGATTCTTTCAGAATAAGACACTGAGGTATTACAAACTGCTTGTTTTGTCTTTAGATATTGGCAGGTGCTCTGAAAGAGGGTCACAAGAAATCAAGTGCCCAGGGCAAGCCTCTTGCTTTGAAAGTATTTGTGGCTGGCAGAAACCGTCTGGAGAACGATGGTGCCACGGCCCTGGCTGAAGCCTTTGGGGTGAGTACCAAACCAGAGCTTCTTGACAGCAAATTGGAGCAAGATGTGCTCAAATGCTAATGTTAATGCATGCAGAGCTTGCCTCAGCTTGGAGGCTGTGCCTGCTTGTTGGTTCACTGGTTGCAACGTTGTTTGCTGCTGGAACTGGAGTCTTTAATGAGTGCAATTAGAATTGATGACTGAACGTTTCTGTGACCTAAGTTTCCAAACACATAACTAGTGGCCATGTAAAGTAATCACTTGAGGGAGAACTAGGCATCTCCTGAGTAAATTAATAGTAGTCCTGTTCCTTCTCCTTCCTCTGTACTAATGAGATAGCTGGTACACCACCTCAGTGTCAGATTGACTTCTTGAGTGCTGCTTTGCCTAGTTGTTCAATCATGTGGCAAAAGCAACTAGAGGTTTTGCTAGGATTGTCCTGTGAGGGCTCTAAATGCTGCTTAGGTTTCTCTAGCTGTCACTGGCCAACTTGCACTTTTGTTGGAGAAAGAGAATTTATTGTGGTTGGGGCAACCTAATTCCCTTTTCTTTCCTCCATTGCTGCTAAAAGTGACTTCTGAATTATAATGTGTATTGTCAGATATATTAGCAATGATATTGCAGGTTATAAGTTCTTTTTGTAAAGAGCTGTCTGGATGTGATTTTGACTAATCAGTAATCATGGCAAAAATAAACACTTGAGAGGCACGTAATAAAGTGATTCATGAGGAATTCAGACTGAATGGCACTGCCAAAATGGGATTCATTGCTGTGTTTTATGAAATGATGTTTAGACTGTAAACAGTGCTCATACTAATTTCCTTACGGGTTTGCTTCTGCAGTCAGGGTAAAACGTTGATCTTAATCAGAAAAATACAGTATCCAGTGTTGTTGCTTGGTCTGTTTCAGTGTTGTTGAACCACAGGTGAAGAACTCTTGTTTTAAGGTCTCTAGAGCAGGCATGCTAGGAGAACGCTACTTGTGACTCTTAAGTTCAGGGCTTTGTGCTCATCTGACACTTGCCATGAGCCTGCAATTTCACTTAGATTTGTAACATAATTGCTGGTAAATAATTCTATGTTGAAAAACTAATGGAGCTTTGAGTTGGAGGAAAACAATTTTAAGCAAATCCTAAAGAGTCGAGCACTATACTTTAGAGTTGAAGTATGTCTCCTAACAGCTTTTTTTCATCTGCATCCTTTCCCAGATCATTGGGACTCTAGAAGAGGTCCATATGCCGCAGAATGGAATTAATCATCCTGGCATTACAGCACTGGCCCAGGCCTTTGCTATCAACCCGCTGCTTAAGGTTATAAACTTGAATGACAACACCTTCACAGAGAAAGGAGCTGTAGCCATGGCAGAGGTGAGTTGTTCTAAGTTGCTTTGAGTTTGTCTTCTGCCTCCCAGTCTCCTCAAATAAGTTAGCATTAGCACCTCTGGGTTGGTAGAGCCACGTGCAGCGCTGTGGTGGGAAAGATGACCTTTCAGGAGTGATAGGACATTCATTTACTTGCCTGTCTGTACTTTCAAATTTGTGCTGTCTTACAGACTCTGAAGGCGCTTCGGCAGATTGAAGTGATCAACTTTGGAGACTGCCTGGTGCGTTCAAAGGGCGCTGTTGCTATTGCTGATGCTGTTAAAGAAGGGCTTCATAAATTAAAGGTATTGTCTTCTTGCTGTTTGGCTTTGAATCTCTTTTGAAAATGCCTAGTTTCCCATTTCCTATTTTTCTGTCCATTCTCCTATCACTACTAATTATTTTAAAGTGGGATTCGCTTCATCGCAGGATCCGTGCTCACAACCTGACAGCAGTAAGCTGTATTGTAGATCAGTGGCATCGCCACATCCAGCTAAGGCTATTCTACATGGAGGTGTACCAGTGACCTGTTTAGTCTCCAGTCAATGTTTTTGCAGCTGTTGGTTCAACTCAGCAAGTGCTATTCAAGAAATCTGATAATGGAAGTATCTGCTTTCAGAACCTTTGAGAGTTGTGCGCGAGGACTGGGACGTTGTCCTTCATGAACAGCTTGTAATCTCTTCAGTTTTTCAGAGTTCATACAGTTAATGTTTTTTTCTTTGTTAGGGCATGTATGCAAGGTCCAAATATTTTTATTTTTTTGGCAATACCACAGCCTCCTACATCAGTATTTGCCCAGGACTTGCATTTGACAACTTTCTAGGCAAGCCTAAGTCCAGTCAGTAGTGTAAGTAAGCTAGGATCTCTAGAAACACCTATGGTGGATCACAACTGTAGTGGAGCTGATGCTGAACACACAGTTCCTAATCTTGCAAGCTTACAATCAAAGACAAACATCCGGCTGAGTGCTAATATTTGTTTACATATATGAACCTGGTACAGAAACGGGTAGGTGTGTTGTGGTGTGAGATCCCTTGCTCAGGCTTCTGATTCTACTGAAACTAGAAAATATGTCTGAATCTCCCAGGAAAACTTAAGTCAGGATTCTAATGAGGGTATTGAGATGAACAGCCAGGAGTTAAATCCTTTTTTCTAGAGCAGAAGTGGTTAAGGGAGGGTAGCATGAAGCAATCATAGCTGATTCATTCTGTTCAAGGACTGCTTCCCTTTTGCTGTTAATGTTAAATCTCTTCTCAGGAAAAGATTGATTGAACACAACATGGAATGGTGGGGGATGGTGCCTGGCTGTTGAATAACTTTACTTATACTAGTCTGTCCACACTGTTTCTCTGCTGACTGTGTTTACCAGAAGCAGTACCACTTGTAGTTTGTCTTTTGAAGGTCTTAACTTGCAACCTAAGCGTTCAAAAGCAATTGCGCCATCCATTTAGTATAGTAGCTACCTTTCTTCTGTAAGACTTAGTGATGTGTGATGCTTAGTGATGCTGTTTTGACCCTTAAATATGTGGAGATCTCCAGTCAGCTGGTTGCTGAGGACTGAAATGTCTGCTGCCTTTTAGGTGAGTGGTCAGAATGGTCTGGTCTCCATGGCTATTAGTAAAGTGGTTGCCTTCAGTAGTGCTGCTTTTAATAATATGTTTCAAAATGACTCTTTTAGGTATATGAAGTAGGAGTATGTGTCGGGTTTTATTTCCAATTAAAAATACTTTTTTTGCCAAGAGCCTCTTCAAGTGAGTCTTTCCAGAACACTTGTGAGCACGTGAAGCTCTTGGAGATGATAGATGTTAATAGGAATTCTGCAAACAAATGTTGTTCTGCTTCTTAGGAACTGAATTTGTCCTTCTGTGAGATCAAACGAGATGCTGCTCTGACTGTTGCTGAAGCTATTGAAGATAAGGCAGAGTTGGAGAAGTTGGATCTCAATGGTATGTAATTTGACTAGATCAAAGTACGTCTCATCTGATCCCAACAAGAAACTACTAGGAAGAATGTTGACAGTATCACATATTCTAGTCTTGCAATTGTCAGTGTTTAAAAAATGGTACTCAGAGTAGCTGAACTTGGATGACCTTGGGACAGGAAGAAAGTTAGATCCTGAAAGTTTTCTTAAGCCATGAACTCAGTTAATTGTTCAAGTTAAGCGGTTTTGGCACATCTCTTAAAGTGGACAGATTAAACTGAATCTGTTCTCAGTAAAACATTTTTAATTGCTCATTGTGATCTCAGATATTTCATACTTGCAAACAAAAGCCTCTGTGTGCATCTCTGCAGAAGAGTGGGAGAACTTTGACCAGATTTGCTTTTGCTGTTCATACCTTGGGTCACGGCATTTCAGTGGTACTGTGTTGTGTGTCCTTGTTTTAGAATGCCTGAGAACAAGAGCTTTTTATAGAACTAGCAGGAAGTCTCTCAAAGACATTGAAAAACTAGGGGTCTTGTTTGTCTCCAACTATTGTGTAATGCTGCTGAAATTTGTTTAACAATTGCTTGATTCTGCTAACTGAAGTCTGCATTGGTGCCTCTAAGGTGCTGTATAGAAATGACTGATAACTGTTCAACTTCAGAAACGAGAAAGGCAAGAATATACAGCTAAATTCTCAAGAACAAACTTGTGTGTGTCTGTTAAGTCTAATCCCTTTCTTCTGTCAACCTAGGTAACTGTCTGGGAGAAGAGGGATGTGAGCAACTCCAGGAGATCCTTGAAAGCTTCAATATGGCAGCTGTGCTGGGATCTTTGAGGTAGGAAGGGTACCAGAGTTTAAACCAGAATTTTTCCAACAATTTTCATCAACACTTTCATTCACTTATCTGTTTTAAAGTAAGAACTGTAACATTGCAGATGGATGTTGGTCTGAGCGTGCAGTGTGGAGCACAGTCAAGGGATTTCATAAGCAGGATAAGCCTTGTGTCTTGTGTTTGTTGATGGACTTATCTTAGTGTTAGTTATTGATTGCATTCCTCGCTCTTTGCTTGCCATTGTCAACTGGGTGGCTGAAGCCTGAGTGTCTTCTTAATCTGTTGTAGATGGAGATGTGCTTCTTGCAGTAAGACTTGAGGGGAGGCTGCTTTTTTGTTCTTGAAAAAAACGTTTGACTTCCAGTGTACAGGAATTGCAAGTGTGTAGTTAATGTAACATTTAACTCTCAAACCTTAGTGATGATGAAGGGGAGGAGGAAGATGATGAAGAGGAGGAGGAGGATGAAGATGAAGAAGAAGAGGAAGAGGAGGAGGAAGAACAGCAACAGCTGAAGGAGAGAAGCCAGGGAGAACAGGAGTCACTGACTCCTAAAAAGATAATTGATTCACAGGTAAGCTGACTTCTAGATGCATTGTTGTTTCCTCAGCTGGAGGAGAGTAAAGGAGGAAATGAGATCTGGAGTGAGTCTGAACTTGGAGTGCTGGCAGGAGTTCACATTCCTGTTGGGCTGGCACTGTAGTAACAGTCATGGAGATAACATGCAGGAAGGAAAGCAAATGGATGACTTGGAAACATGTCTTGTTGAAGTCTGTGTGTGCGTAAAAGTGTGGAGGGAAAGGCTGAGTAGCTATTGTAAGAAACACAGGTAGACAAAGTCTTCCCATGTCTAGAAAATGGTGACAACCTTGTATGTGCAATGTCATGCTAGTGTATTCTGGCTGTTCCTACTCTGAGCTCATTCCAGCCTCAAATAGTTTTCAAATAGAACAAATCCTGACCTGTCTTATGTGCCTTTACTGATGAACTAATTTATTTACTTCCAAGAGTAAACCTGAGCTGGATTCTGCCTGTTTCAGGATTCGACACCAGTGCCATCTCCTCCTGTGGATGTTGCCACATTCCTTGCTTTCCCATCGCCAGAGAAACTGCTGCGACTAGGGCCAAAGTGCTCTGTGCTGATAGCTCAGCAGGTAGGTGAGCCAGTGGTCTTCTATGCTTGATTGTCTCCCAGAATCATTTAATTCCCCAGAGGTGATAACTTTCTCTCTTGAGACCTAGGTTTGCATCTTCTCCCCAGTGATCCTGAGTAACCTTATGGAGGGAGATGATGCAGTTAATGGTCATGGTGGCATCAGAGCTGCTACACAGAGTAACTTGGTTTCACAGTGTTGCACATGCCTTGTGGTATGGCCAAGGCAGAACTGATCTCGGTTAACTGGAGGCTGTAGTTCTTCTCACAGCCCTAGCAGAGACCCATTTTCTGCAGCTGGCGAGCAGTGAACTGAATTACCCTTGATTTTTATTTTTTTTTATATTTTTCTTGTCTTTCAGACGGATACATCTGATGTAGAGAAAGTAGTTACAACTCTCCTAAGGATATCCTCGGTCTTCAAAGATGAAGCCCCAGTGAAAACAGCAGTACATGAAACAACAGGTGACTGGGTCTTTCTTCACTTCATGGTGTGACCTGCTTCCCTGTCAAGGACACCAGTGCAATGCAGAGGAAGGCCCCTGTGGGCCAGGCCATTGGACTGTTTTGTCCCTGGCAGCAGGAAACTCCAGATAACAAAGTACCAAGCTCTGCCATGCTGTTGAGTGGAGTGAAAGTAGAGATTCATTCTGCACTTAGCATATCTTGTGCTTCCAGAATACTTGTCCTGAGGGACCCCAGGAAACAGTTGAGCAAGTTTTCTTACTGTGTTCTCATTCCTTTTGGTTTCAAATGAAAGGAGAATTCTTGCTGGCCTTCAAATTTTAGGGCTCTAACTCTTGCTGCTGTATTTCATCTGATCGTATTTATGTGCGTGTGTGCACATAGCACGCGTGTTCAAATGCATTGAGTAGACCATTTTGTGATGCATAGGACTGAGGTCAAATTGCATCTAAAGCTTGGCAGTGTGTGAATTTGGAGGTGGGTTTTTTGCATTTTTGGGTGGTGTTTTTCTTTTTTCTTTTCCTTTGTATCAGGCCTTATACTTAAGGACTAGGTTTTGTATGTCTCAGTGTTTCAGAGGTTATACCTAGTCCCTGCAGAGACAAGTGGAATATTAGCAAATGTTATCTCTCAAAACCCTTTTAACAGTTGATATTCCCTGAGTTCCTGTATGATCAATCTTGTTCTTAAAATCTGTTAACAGCGTCACTTTCTTTATTGTTTAGTATGATGCATTTATTTCTTTTTAGATGCCTTGATGAGAAAAACCTTCACTTCTGCAACATTTAATTCTGATGCATTCATCACAAGCCTCTTGATCCACATGGGATTACTTAAGGTGACTAAGCAGGAAAGAGTTAAGTTATAGTCTGTTTAGGCTGTTGAAGACTAGACTGGCTGGATTTTGGGTAATTATGTTGCCATGGAAGCAGCTGGGTGCCTGTGCATGCCTGTTGCCCAGGGACAATGGAAGTCTGCAGGTCCAGCAGAAATTGCAAATTGCAAGGTTGCATTAGGATGAAGGAGGTGTTAGCCCTTTGTACCTCTTCTGCTTAATGTGCTCTGCATTCTTAGTCATCCCCTAAAGGTAGGGAGGGTCAGGTAAGGAAATAGTGCTGCTGCTGGACTGTGGTGTCTATAAAAAGCCATGTCCAGGAGTTTAATCTACAATATTGTTAGTTAATGTGGTCCTGTAGGGCATCTCTTAGCAGCATGGCTCAAAAACATATATCCTACTACTCATGCTAGATCAGTAGCATTCAACTTCATGCTCTGGAGTATCTTTGCCAAATACTAGAGTCAAAAATGTAGTCACATGAAATAAACTTTATCGTGAGAAAGGGTGGAGGGTCGGTAGGAGAAGTTCTGTCTGCAAACAAGGGTCGGTAGGAGAAGTTCTGTCTGCAAACAAGGGTTTCTTGCTGTCTCAAGACCTAGAATCTGAAAATAGAAACTTGGACTGAGACAATTCTAAGCCACAGAATAGCCATAATCTATGTTATATCAGCCTGCTTTTTAATTAGATTTGTAGATTTCCTTCTGGTAATATCCAGCTTATGTATGACAGCTGTTGATGTGCTTGGATACATCTTAATTTCCTAAAAATCAGTTTAGTCTTTCCTTATGTACATTGGACTAATGCTGAGCTTTTGTCTTCTCAGTCAGTTCAACTGAACTGGAGATGGCTTTCTGTTCTGCAAAATGCTTGTTTCAGGGGCTACGACCTACCTCATCCCATACAGAAAATGGCAAATATGCATGAGGCACAATTCAGACTTGTGTTCTAGAAGAACTCTTTCAGACCAGGAAGTGGCATTGATAATAATGCCCTTGAGGATTAGCCAGATGATTGTTTGTCCTCTGTCATACAGAGGACTGTTGATGAATTAGGCATATGTGGCAAGGGAACAGCTTCCATCATTTTCTGTCCCACATAGCTGGAAGCACACAAGCAGCAGATATTCTTAGCACCATGAAATACAAGGTCCTATATGTAGGAATGCAGGTCCAGATCCTGCCTACAGAATGAAGGGCTTTACTTGGGATGGCAGTGGAGAAACAAATGAAAACAATTAAGAGTTAGGACATGTAGGTTAGCATCACATTAGGAGCAAGAATAACTTATGCATTATGTAAGCAGGGGAACAGCAATAGGGATGATTATCTGCTTTATCTTGTACATAATTGTGAGACCAGTTCTGGCAATACTGCATCAAGTTCTGAGGGAAGCATGCTGAAGAACTGGAGATGGTACAAAAATGAGCTACAGAATAATACATGAAGAATTTGTGTAATTAAGGAAACTGAATTCTCCATTAATTGAAGTTGAGTGAAATTCCTTAGGAGAACACTTTGGTACTGGGCCTCTGAGAAGATTTGGCTGTTTCACTCACAAGTTCATTACTTCCTTTTCCTCATTGTTGCTGCTGTCAATGACTGGGCTCTGCTAAGTACTAGAATGTTCTTGATGCTGCTGTATCTCAGATGCTGGTGCTGGGAAGCTATGGAGTTGGAACATTGTACTTAATCAGTGAGCAGCTTTCTCTCCCAGTGTCTGGCAGCACTGCATTCAACAGAGAATTCACTATCTCTGTGAACTAGAGTGGATTAGATAAAATAGTGATTGTCTGATGTCTGACTTCGTCTTCTTGTCCTTTTCTCAGAGTGAAGAGAAGATCAAAGCTGTCCCAAGCCTCTATGGTATTCTTATGACCTTGAACCATATGGTCCAGCAGGATTATTTCCCTAAATCCCTGGCCCCAGTTCTCTCAGCTTTTGTCACAAAGTGAGTATTGTACTTGCCATGCAGTCTTCTCCATGGGAGCTAGTGAAACTGAGGGTTAATAGCTACATGCAAGCTGTTCTGTTAAAGCCCACTAAGTATCTGTTCTGAAATTAAGGATTAGTAAGTAGTTTCATGGGCCTCTACTTTTATCTTGCTTACTCCAGAATGCGAGGTTTAGAATAAAAAGTCTTGAGTCTAAAGAAGAAATGGTGGAAAGCTGGTGCTGCAACTGGCCGACTCTGAAGCAGAGGCTGATGCCAGTCACAGAAGAGGTGTTTTGAGCTTAAGGAAACCTGCTGGGTTTCTAGCCACTGCTTGAGTGAACTATGAATATGCTGGATCTAACTGCACCCTCCAAATCATCTGAGTATGAGAGTCAGAAGAGCTCTACCTGAATTGTCATGCAGTGTAACTCTGAAAACCAGCAGATCAAAACAGTGCAAAACACAAAGACTGAATTTGTTCCTAAATGAAAAACTGTTCCTACTGTGAAAGCAACAAGGCTAGTGATTTCTTTGAGAACTAAATTGGGAGCATAAGTGCTGAAGCAGTTGCTTCTACTGCCTGCCTCTATTTAATGTTGTTACTTGTAGGATAGGTATAGAATCAACTCCTGCCCCCACCAGCTTTAGTTTCTTTAATGTCTTAAAGCATGGATAATGCAATAGCAGAGGAAGCCATAACTCTTCCATATTAAATCAATGTGAACTTCAGTGTCACTCACCAGAAGAAGGTTTCAGGCTGCAGCTCCAAAGCAGGTTGCCACTTCTCCCACAGCCAGGAGGAAACGGCCCTCCTTTTGTAGAAGGGCCTTCACATTAATCGATAATTAACTTCATTGATAGCAGCTGGATCCACACTTTAGTGTTGATGTAATTTAGAAAAAACACCCCAAATAGTCCTTTCCTCAAGAGAGCAAAGACTGCAGCAGTCAAGTGGAGAAACATTCAAAAAAAAAGGTCACTTTAAGCAAAACAAGCAGAGGTCTGAAATCTGTTTGGAACTCAGTGGCTCTTTGGCTCAGCATGGACCACGTGCCACATAGGGCAAGAGCAGCTTTTTAACAAATTCCAGAACAAGGCTTAAGCCTTCCTGATTTTCTTGGTGTGGAGAATATGCCAAAGTTTGGGATCTTGTGCTGATGAAAGGCAGAGGCATCCAATACTTGTGGTCAGTACAAAACATGGGCGATAGGGATGCAGTCAAATATTGGTAGTCAGTTTTTTCTTTCTAGGATTGGAAGTGGGCCAGTTGCGACAGGGATGAAGAATTTTTCCAAGCATTTCTCCTCTTTTTGTCTTGATCAGGCTAAGAATTAGGCAGTTACAAGCTGTTGTGGGTTAGGCCGCTCCAGCAACCAAACCCTACAGTCACTCACTCACCCTCCCCCACCCCAGGGATGAGGGAGAGAATCAAAGAAGAAAAAGAAAAGAGACCCGTGGGTTGAGATAAGAACAATTTAATACTACCGCTACCAATATATATATGTACGGATATGTACAAGGATAAATATACAAACGAGTGATGTACGGTGTAATTGCCCACCACCCCTTGACCAAGGCCTGTCTCTTCCCAAAGCTGCAATCCTGAAACAGATAAATCCTGATACCACAATCCTGGATGAATGGGAGGCCCAAAATAGAGAGCGAGCAAGAGAGAAAGCACTCTGAGAGTCCGAAAGTGAGAGTCCCGGAAGGGCAAAGCCCTTCTTTCTGGCTGACCCTCACTTTTATACTGGGCATGACGCTGCATGATATGGAATACTAGTTGGCCAGTTTGGCTTCAATCCTAAATCCAAGTACAAATCACAAGGGGAATCGTGACCCCCTTGTCCCAGCTATGCTCCCCCCTTACCCTGTTGTGCTCCTGCACACTGACAACAACACAGCAGCTAGAAAGTCCTTGAGACCTCAGTGCCAACTACAAACATCAGCTTGCTATCAACATTCTTCTCAGAGCGAGCCTCTGAGTAAAACTAGAACATGGAGCTCTTCTAGCTGCTAAAAAGAAGAGCTAACTCTGTCCCAGCTAAAACCAGGGCACAGCCAATGACCATATGTTTTACCAATTGAACAAATACACCTCCAACTCAATCATTATAGATTTAAGCAAGAAATATCAGGAGTTGCCATGGGAAGTTGTCCAGACAGATCACTGGATTTCTGCTGTTTCCTACACTGCTGCCTGTGCCTGTGATCTTGCTTGTTGATCAAATAGATATGTACAGTGTAAGGATACAATACCAGCCCTAAAATAAAAAAGTGAAGAAAATGATGGCTTACTTCATCAGGCACTAATTATGCAGAGACCCAGCTTGATCAAAACAAGCACCACTAAGTGTCTATCAGCCCCAGCCCTCCAAACAGAGGATTTTAATCGCTTGAAGTGGGGAATATTGAAAAGGTGACTTTGATTCAATGCACTTGACCCTTCTAATTGTTTATGTCAGATTCCAGCACCTAGAGTAGCCTCATGACTCAACTTGACGTGTCTCTTCTAAACAAATTTGCTCGCGACAGGCCCTTGGTTCCCCTCTCCCTGTATGCGTGTATGTAGTCCTCTCCCAGGCTCCAGGCCTGCAAAATACCAGTGAGTATTTTTCATCTGTAGGTGATGCTGTATGTGACAAAAATAAGAGTAAAATTCTGATCTTAATTAATCAACAATTCCATTGAATACATAGCCAACATTTCCCTACAAGTAGAAGAGAGGAAGGTCTCTTCCTGAAAGGGAGAGATCGTTCAGAGGTCCTGTAAAAGCTGAGTGAGAGCCAAGAGTCTCTGGCAGTAGGAAGCAGATCTGTCTGTCTGCCTGCCTTTGGTACGTAAGGGTGCTAATGCCAAGCCTGCAGTGTCCCTGGTGCTATGAAATTCTTGGAGTTGAAGCTTTCTCTGATTTGCAAATCCCTCTGTTGCAAGGTGTGCTATTATCATAGGGGAACTTATGTCTCATGCGATGTAATGAAGTCAACACTATATGCAAGCAGTAGACCTTTGCGTTTTATAAAATACATGTATTTGTAAAATGCTTTCCCTAAGGGAACAAGGAGAACAGCTATTAGATCCTTTACAGTTGCCCGGAGAGATCAAGATCAGTTCAAGAACCACACAGTCCAGTTAAAACAGCTTCTCGATTAACCTACAGCCCTTGTCTTTACTTAGAATTCAGTCAGAACGAAATCACATCCTAACCTTAACTCAGACCTCTGACTGGTTAACCCAGTACTCTGCAGAGCTCATTTGGTCTTTGTTACTGCAGCAAATCTACTTCCACTCTGTCAAACCCGTGAGTCCTTCATTTGCAGCAAACTGGTACGCACATTTGTGATATTTTCTTTGTGGATTGCAGTTAAACTCCTTTGGGCTTCCAGAGCTGTAACGTTCTTGCAGCTGTTTACGCTGGAGCTCTGCTGCCTTTCACTGCAAGGGGCTTGCTTCTAGAGTAGTCATTTGTTTCATGACAATTTGTGATGATGTGGGTAGTGGTCTCCATTCAAAAATAACAACAAAATTATGGATATGGACTGTAAGCGGCATCCATCTTACTCTGCTGCTGTCAGTCTTTATTTTCTTTTTCCTGGACACAAGAGGGTGCTGTGAATCCACATGTGCCTTTCCATAATTCTTTAGGTGGGAACGCTGAACTATCTGCTTGCCTGCTTGTAAATTGCTGGAGGTGATGGTGGGGTTTTTGTGAGGGGGTTTTTGATGCGTGTTTTGCTGGGGTTTTTTGGCTATTCTTTGCTATTGAGTTGCATTGCATTGCATCACATCACTGGCCTCTTTCAACAGCTGGTAACAGAGTGGCAGACAGTTTAACTCCACAGCAAGTAAGGAGGCTTGGTGTTAGGAGTGGAGGCTGTGAGGGAGGTTGGCTGTGATCAGCATCAACAGTTCAGGCTATTTCCAAAAATGGGGAGCTGCCTCACAAAATCAACCTGCTCATTGTGAACAGGGCTAGGTCTTCCAAAGATGACAGCTTCAATACCTCACCCAGCCACTTGGAAGATAAACTGCCAGTTGTAATTGTGTCCTGTCTGTTCAGTGTGGGGCGCTGAATGGCTCTTAACAGGGGTTAATTCTTCTTCAGAACGTGCTTCTGTTGAACCATAGCATACACGGAGCCCTGTATCCCAAACAATCTCTGCAGCTGTTGCCCATGTACTAGAAATCCAGAGATTAACTTTTTGCTCCTACATAGATGCTCCCATCTTTATTTCAGTTCCCCCTTCTTTCCCAAATTGAGTAGATCTCATTGCTAGTAAGGTTATTTTGCTGTGTTGAAGTAGGAGAAAGGTAAAATTAATGATTTCTGTTCTCAGAACAATGGAAGACATTGGATCAAAATTCTTTGAAGGAAGTTCCCTAATGAATGGATACAGACTGTTAGAAGTTGCAGTGATGCTTGGGGAACAGCTAGCCTGTGGAAACAGAAATATACATTACTGGGAGGTGATGGGAAGGTTAACGAGATTTAGCCTAGTGTTAACTCTGATGTGACTGTGTAGTTTCAAGGAGCAGGTTATTCTACATGAGGTAGACCTCGATATTGCAATCTCTGTGCCAGGCTCTTTCAGACAATGGTTGGCAGGTTCTGTGGGCTGTTTGTAAGGGCCCCCTGGAAGGTGGCCCAGCAAAGCCAGTGAGGTGTTACTTGACCCCAGGGGCGGGGAGGGCCTTTTTTTAACGATTTAAGCCCTGAGGCCAAAGTCACCAGCAGGTCAAAGATAGCAGATGACTAGGTGAGAAAAGATTTAAGTAGAGACAGCTTGTCTTCTGTGTTTTGGGGCCCTAAATGGTTTATCTATATGGAAAATTCTACTGGGAGGGAAAGGGGCTTCCACACCCACTCACTTCTTGCTACCCAGACTGAGACACTGGGCTGCAGAGATCAACAATCTGCTGGTGGCTTTTGTACTTGTGGAAGTAAATGTTCTTGTTCTTGGTTGTTGTCTTCCTGGCTTGGACTCAGCAACAGGAGAGCGAATTTTTCACAGCAGGCTCTGGATGGGCAGCAGTGATCTGTGCAGAGATCAGGGAATGGTTTCAGAAAAGATGACCAAGGGGAAAAGATGTAGACTTTTGGGCATACGAGCCCAATGCATTTGAAATGGTGTTTATTTGCTCATTCAAAGTCAGATACAAAGCAGTTCCTAAATTCTGTCTTTTAAATTTCTCTCTCCTCTTTCTACAGACCAAACCGTGCTCTTGACTCCTGTTCGTTTGCTCGCCACATGCTCTTACAAACCCTCCACCAGCTGTAAGAGACAAGAGATGTGCTGCTGTGCCCTTCCCTCCTCATAGGACTGTTGTCTGCAGAGAACTCAGAGCTGTGTGGTTGGAGAGGATCCCAGAGCTCATATAGACATGCTGTCCTTCTTTTTTCTCCCCCCTACACCCCCTACACCCTGACCCATAGGAGGTCTGTCCTTCCTTCGGCTTTCATAAACTTGGACA